TGCGATCCGTTGCCGGACACGAAAAAAGACAAAAAGGGAAAAAAAAAAAAAAAAAAAAAAAGAAATTCACATCAAATCTGAGACACCCTGAGTACTGGTCTTGAAAAGACAGAGACAAAGAAGATATCTGGTCTCCATCCTCCTGACGGTCCTGAGTTCTGTCATCTCCAGCCTGGTCTCCCGACTTCCAGGCTCTCTCCAGCCTATCCTTCCTCTTCCAAGTAATCCGACTGCTAAAAGCCTCTCCAGGGGCCGGCCCGGTGGCGCACTGGAGAAGTGCGCTGCTTGGGAGTGCGGCGGCGCTCCCGCCGAGGGTTCGGATCCCACGTGGAGACTGGTTCCCGCTCGCTGGCTGAGTGCGGTGCGGGGGCAACACCAAGGGTTGCGATCCCGTTGCCGGTCCCCGGTATGGGCACGACACCGAGGGTTGCGATCCCGTTGCCGGTCAGTAAAAAAGAGACAAAAAGGGAAAAAAAAATAAAGCCTCTCCAAAGCTTCCTGCTGCCTGAGGGATAGAGGACCAAATCCCTGGCACCCTCTCCAAGCCCATGGCCCCTCTGACCGGAACCCACCCTCGCATCTAGCCCTTTGAACCACCTCCACGTGGGACACGCCCAGTGTGAGCCAGTTCTCATATCCTGTTGCTATATCCACACCTTACTCATCTTGCTCCCTCCACTTGGAATGCTTTCTCCCTTCTCTACTCCCACAAAACCCTTTTTCTCCAAGGCCCTATTCCAACATCATATCTCTGAGTTCACAGAAGAGAATCCCCTAAAATCCCTGTCTGTTCTTTACACCATTATAGCACGTCCTATAGAATGACTGGCTTTATGTGTATCTGTCTCCCCAACTAGACTATGTCCTTAAGGGGCAAGACTGAGCCTTATCTATCTTTACCTCTCTGGGTGCTTTTCACATGTTTTTTGAATGAAGGAGAATCCCTACCAGCAGTTTATATAATAAAGAACAGAATAGGGGCTCAGGACAAGGGCCCACAGTTGTATTAGATGCCCCAAGCCAGAGGTTCTCAACCACTGTGGGTCTAGCTCAATTGAAAAATCATTGGTCACTAATAAAAAAGTGCCAAAATTTGTTAATAATTTACTAAAAACAATTAGATCAGACTCAAAGTTAATATGCCTTCTTAAATGCAAGAAAAAGGGATGGAGTTACAGGTGACAGCATGATGTCTAATCCCAGACACCCTTGTGAATATCATCAATCTTACACAGAATGACAAGAGAACTTACTGACAATGCCTGCCTTAAGTGGTATGAAATGGTGACTTGGGCTGCTCATCTTTGGGGAATGTGATGAGAAACAAGGAAAACAGGCAGTTTCTAAGCTTCTCCCGTTACCATCATTGATCTTTTTACTGCTACACAGACTCAAATACGGACGGGCCACACAGCTGTAATCCTCATTAGGATGCCAGGTTCCGACTGGGGTGTGTGGGGGACAGCTATGTTGGGGCCAGAGACTAGTGGAACACTAGGTCATCCATACTTTGGGTAATCTGTTTTGATAAGAGAAAGATCAAGACATTTACCTGGGTACCATAAAATAGATGTCCATTTACTCTTTTCCACTGAGACATCTCCCAAATCTCTCACTATTTATTCTGGAGTAATTGGAAAGTGACTGGAGTGCGGGAGGAATAGAAAGAGTCAGTTACAAAAAAGAAAACCGAGTAAGGATTGAGGAATGGCACAAACTCAAATGCAACAAGATACTATACAACTTCCTGCCTTAAGAGTTGGCTTTTCTATATATCTCATATAGAGAAACTTCACATAGAGACTCATTTTGCAGCTGCTTGGATTTTTTTACTGTGAAGAGGAGGTGGTGTTACAGAAAAATGGAAAAAAAGGAGATGGCAGTAGAATGCTAACACAGTAGGGGCCAATATAACATCTGCGGGCCTGATGATTTTTAGACATTTTGGGGGTAAACAAGTAATACCAACGAATTATATTTATAGCGAATGTTAAAATGTTTATGCTTCTATGAGGAAGTGACATGATTCCACAGGAACAGTCAAGATGTAACTTTTCTATTTGTGTTTAGAGCTTGCTTTTCTTATCCTGTTCTCCAAAACGTACATTAAGCTAAATTATCTCATGCTAGTTCTCAACCTCAGCTCTTTTATTTGGCAAATGTATCAGAAAATTCCATTTGGTTACTGGAGTCATCCCAAAGTGAAAAAATAGCATTTCCAGAAGGCCAGCATTCATTCCATCCCTTTCTTGCATTTATGTAACTCAATAGTGGCTTTGTTTTCTGACTGTTCACACAAAGAACACACATACAGCAACTGATGGAATACCACCCAAATGTTTTAACGACTCTACATGTATATATGGTAGGCAAAGAAAAATACAGCGTTAGCCCTTATTCTGGTGACTTATTATTCTTTCCAAATACTCTTAATTTGACAGCAGCACACAAATATCATTTGAGAACAGCCCTAGTTCAGAGGGCAGGAGGTGCCGCC